ATATCGATAACTCAACAAATGTCATTCTTAAACATGCTTTGGGAGTAAATATAAATATTTCTGGTCAAAATGTTACCTGGATTCACACATTCAACTTTTGAAATAATAAACACAAATAAATGTAGTAAATCCACTGTAAATAAACTCCAGTCCAAATGTCAAGACATGTTCAAGGATTCATTAATGGATTCTCTCATATGCAAAAGCAAGTTAAGAACATACAGGTTGGCCAAGTCTATAAATAGTGAGAACTATCTTCCTCATTGTAAGTGTAAAACAATGATCATGGGTCACATTTCCCCAAACCTCGTGTAAGTAAACATAAATTGAAATTGGAACGTATAAAAAACACACACACACCAGAACGTCTCTGTGAAACATGTTAGGCCTTAGAAGATGAATAACACTATAAAATGTCTTGCATACAATATACTAAAGAAATGATAAATAATTTGGTGCACTCCGCAAAAATGGACAATTTAAAATACTTTTACCAACAGTTATCAAGAAACAATTTCCAAACTCTGTTATCATATTTTTTTTTATAATAAATCCTAGTGTGTACATTACCATACTTTTGCTCAATCTTCATATTGTTCCCACATCATTATAATACATTTGTTCTAAAATGAAATTGTTCTAATGTATCTCATTTTATGTGGAATGAAATACTGCTCCGTATGTTATAACTGAAGTACTGACTCGTGCAGTATTGAAGAAAAATGCCACCGTGTTTAAACTAAAATACTGCTCCGTATGTTATAACTGAAATACTGCTCCGTATGTTATAACTGAAATACTGCCTCATGTGTTATAACTGAAATACTGTTCCATGTGTTATAACTGAAATAATGTTTCGTATGTTACAACTGAAATACTGCCCCATATGTTAAAACTGAAAAACTGCTCCGTGTGTTACAACTGAAATACTGCTCCATGTATTATAACTGAAATACTGCCCCATGTGTTATAACTGAAAAACTGCTCCGTGTGTTATAACTGAAATACTGCTCCATGTATTATAACTGAAATACTACTCCGTGTGTTATAACTGAAATACTGTTCCGTGTGTTATAACTGAAATACTGCTCCGTGTGTTATAACTGAAATACTGCTCCGTGTGTTATAACTGAAATACTACTCCGTGTGTTATAACTGGGACCGGGAAGATCCGGGGTAGAAGAGGTCCTCAGCAACCCATGATTGTCGTAAACGGCGACAGCTTGTCGTAAAAGGCGACTAACGGGATCGGGTGGTCAGGCTCGGTGACTTGGTTGATGCATGTCATCGGTCCCGCTTACGTGGATCGATGCTCATGTTGTAAATCACTGGATTGTCTGGTCCAGACGCGATAATTTACAGACCGCCGTCATATAGCTTGAATATTACTGAGTGCGGAGTTAAACAACAAACCAAACCAAACATGTTATGACTTAAATATTACTCCATGTGTTATAACTGAAATATTACTCCATGTGTAATAACTGAAATACTGATCCGTGTGTTATAATTGAAATACTGATCCGTGTAATAACTGAAATATTACTCCATGTGTTATAACTGAAATACTGATCCGACCAGGGTACATTGCAGTTGCTCGCTACACCCAGGTTCGGCATAGACGTTTCCTGACACAGCCATTTGTGACAATTAAACTGGTGGTTACTCCATATTGACATAAAAACCACCAGATGTCACACGATATTTCACAGGACATAACACAGGACATGACACAGGACTTAACACAGGACAGGACACAGGACACCACATAGGACAGGACACAGTACATGAAACAGGACTTAACATTTGACATGACACGAGACATGGCACATGACATAACACGGGACATGACACAGTACATGACACAGGACACCACACAGGACACCACACAGGGAATGACACGGGACATCACACAGGACATCACACAGGTCTTAACACAGGACATAACACAGGATATGACACAGGACATAACACAGGACATGACACAGGACATGACACAGGACACCACACAGGGCATGACACGGGACATCACACAGGACATCACACAGGTCTTAGCACAGGACATAACACAGGATATGACACAGGACATAACACAGGACATGACACAGGACATAACACAGGACATGACATAGGACATAACACAGGTCTTAACACAGGACATAACACAGGACATGACACAGGTCTTAACACATGACATAACACAGGGTATGACACAGGACACAACAGGATATAACACAGTACATAACACAGGACATGACACAGGACATGACATAGGACATAACACAGGATATGTCACAGGACATGACATAGGACATAACACAGGATATAACACAGTACATAACACAGGACATGACACATGACATGACACAGGACATAACGCAGGACATGACACATGACATGACACAGGACATAACACAGGACATGACACAGGACATAACACAGGACATAACACAGGATATAACATAGGACATAACACAGGATATAACACAGGACATGACACAGGATATAACACAGTACATAACACAGGACATAACACAGGACATGACACAGGACATAACACAGGATATAACACAGTACATAACACAGGACATGACACAGGACATGACACAGGATATAACACAGGACATGACACAGGACATAACACAGGACATGACACAGGACATAACACAGGACATGACACAGGACATAACACAGGGTATGACACAGGACATAACACAGGATATAACACAGGACATAACACAGGATATAACACAGTACATAACACAGGACATGACACAGGACATGACACAGGTCTTAACACAGGACATCACACAGGACATAACACAGGACATGACAGAGGACATAACACATGACATAACACAGGACATGACATAGGACATAACACAGGATATAACACAGGACATAACACAGGACATGACACAGGTCTTAACACAGGACATCACACAGGACATAACACAGGACATGACACAGGACATAACACAGGACATGACACAGGACATAACACAGGACATAACACAAGACACCACACAGGACATAACACAGGACATAACACAGGACATAACACAGGACATGACACAGGACATGACACAGGACATAACACAGGACATGACACAGGACATAACACAGGACATGACACAGGACATGACACAGGTCTTAACACAGGACATCACACAGGACATAACACAGGACATCATACAGGACATAACGCAGGACATGACACAGGACATAACACAGGATATAACACAGGACATAACACAGGACATCACACAGGACATTACACAGGACATTACACAGGACATAACACAGGACATGACACAGGACATAACACAGGATATAACACAGGACATAACACAGGATATAACACAGGACATAACACAGGACATGACAAACACAGGACATAACACAGGACATGACACAGGTCTTAACACAGGACATCACACAGGACATAACACAGGACATCATACAGGACATTACGCAGGACATGACACAGGTCTTAACACAGGACATCACACAGGACATCACACAGGACATAACACAGGACATCACACAGGACATAACACAGGACATGACACAGGACATTGTACAGTATAGGAATAACCGGGTTCAATTCCCCACATGTGTACTATGTGTGAAGTCTATTTCTGGTGTCCTCCGCTGTGATATTGCTGGAATATTGCTAAAAGCGGCATAAAACAATACTCACTCAAATTAGATTCCTCTTCTGATAAAATAAAACTGGCTCGATGAAGCTTCGCATGTTGCTTTGTATCCTGCATGTTACTCGGCGGAACCCTTTCCCTTGTTTGCACTTACAAACCTCGAAATGCGTATGTTTTAGAATGTTAATAGTAGCTTACGCGTCAAGAAACAGACAACACGTCTGACAAATACACGTTACAGGCATTGCCTCATGGTGTAGAACAAACAAATAATAACCTCAGAATCGTCGGTCATTATTACTGGGGGCACGGGTTCCCCAATCGTCTAAGGCGCCGCAATTCGCTGTGCAGAGTTGCGTCCCTTGGGCACCCAAGACAACTATGATCGTGGGTTCTAATCCCGGTTCGCCGCCATAATGTTTCTAGGTTTTTCAGCACCATACCCGTGCTCGTTGGTTTCCCCAAAGTGGTAAAAGTCTGAGATCTGTATCACTTCGGGCTTTCCTCACTGTCATTATTAACAACTTACCAGTGTTAAGCATGTATTAATGTTCTCGAACATTGGGACAAAACATCGTCGAAACACATGTGCACGAGATAGTCATGCCTTAATGACCCATTGCGCGCGGACACCATATTTGATATCGCGGGTGTGTCAGGACTTGCCACGAGAGCGATGTGGAAAAATCTCCAATAAGTGTACTCCCCTTATATATACGCCTAACGTTTTTTATTGTGTAGAAAGCGTTACAAGCCAAATCACTAGCTTTAGTCATGTATATAACGTTAGATGTTTTAGTTAAATATTAGAAATATACTTTAAAGCAATACACATACTTTACTTTCGGTGACGTCAAAAACCCTGCAAGGTGTGGCAATGTTTGCATCCAATTTATTACATACGAAATGTACTCTAGCACCTCCAGCACAACGAAGTCATTTCACATGTCAAAAACTGTACACTTCGTTCTCCTAGAGGTGCTAGAGTTACATATCATGTGTAATAAATTGGATGCAAAATTGCGAATTTATATTTCTTTGTTGCAGTGATGGAGGTACTACTGTCAGGATTCAACATTTGGAACTGGTCCATAATAGGGTGTTAGTATCTGAAAGTAGGTCGCCAATATCAAACGGAGGTCTCTGATATGGGAAACTAGGTCACCAATACGCGAAAGATATGGGTTTTCCTTTCAGCGTATAAGAGGCACAGGTTGTGTAATGGAAGTTAAAGTAGGTTTAAACATATCGATGATCCCTATAATCACATTCTCTGCGACTGTTGCAGTGAGGCATATTTTCGATAGAAAAAGAAACCGCGTTTCAACGTTGGAGTCTTACCTGGTGTGCACCAAAGACAGCAGACAGCTTCACAACCACGACGCTCCGCTTGGAACGACACCCACAGCTGCTATGTAGGTCATGCGCCAGACTGAGGCTGTTTGGGTAATGTGTCATGATCAGTGGCTGGGTCCTACGGCTCCTGTTCTCTGGGGGTGAGGAGTGTTTGCACCCACTGACTCCCCCCGGGACGCCGCTCTGGGGGTGAGGTGTGTTTTCACCCACAGACTCCTCCCGGGACGCGCTCTGGGGGTGAGAAATGTTTGCACCCACAGACTCCTCCCGGGACGCCGCTCTGGGGGTGAGGATTGTTTGCACCAACAGATTCCTCCCGGGACGCCGCTCTGGGAGTGAGGAGTGTTTGCACCCACAGACTCCTCCCGGGACGCCGCTCTGGGGGTGAGGAGTGTTTGCACCCACAGACTCCCCCCGGATGCCGCTCTGGGTTGTGAGGAGTGTTTGCACTCACAGAATCCCCCCCAGGACGCCGCTCTGGGAGTGAGGAGTGTTTGCACCCACATACTCCTCCCGGGACGCCGCTCTGGGAGTGAGGAGTGTTGGCACCCACAGACTTCCCCCGGATGCCGCTCTGGGGGTGAGGAGTGTTTGCACCAACAGACTCCCCCCCAGGACACCGCTCTGGGTGTGAGGAGTGTTTGCACCCACAGACTCCCCCCGGGACGCCGCTCTGGGGGTGAGGTGTGTTTTCACCCACAGACTCCCCCCGGATGCCGCTCTGGGTTGTGAGGAGTGTTTGCACCCACAGACTCCTCCCGGGACGCCGCTCTGGGGGTGAGGAGTGTTTGCACCAACAGACTCCTCCCGGGACGCCGCTCTGGGGGTGAGTAGTGTTTGAACCCACAGACTCCTGGGAACCCTTCCACGTGATTCGCAGACCAGCCAAGGGTCTTATCCCCACCCTCAGGGCTTTAAGGGACAATTGTTGATGGAGATGGGTTTGAGATTGGTGAGGGGGTTGTAGGGTGGGTTGTTGGGGGGGGTGGGGGGGTACTAGGAGTGAGAGAGGTGTTTATTGACATTATGATTGAAGACATCACTTTGCATTGGGCTAGCGGTGTTTTCTTATTTTGGCAGTAATGTCTTCGCCAACGATTTTTTTCACTTTTGGTAAAGGCAGGACCCGTAACGACCGGGGTAGAATAGGTCTTCAGCAACCCATGCTTGCCGTAAGAGGCGACTATGCTTGTCGTAAGAGGCGACTAACGGGATCGGGTGGTCAGGCGCACTGACTTGGTTGATGCATGTCATCGTATCCCAATTGCGTGAATCGATGCTCATGATATCAATTACTAGATTGTCTGGTCAAGACTCGATTATTATGGAATATTGCTGAGTGCGGCGTTAAACAACAAAGAAAGATAAAGGCAGCATTGAGGTCGGCCCGAGTACAGATTACTCACTTGTACAACGTACAGCCAGACTAGCTTGTCGCCAGTGGGGTACTGACCTGGATGGATGGTTGACAATCCCATGTACATCTTCTCGACTGATAATAAAAAAGACAAGCAGCTGTATGCAATCGTATACTACACATAAAACGTCTCTGGTATAGTTTTGTTTGGTGGCCATGATATCACCTTATCTGCAAATGTAACGATACTGGCAATTAAGTCTATCTTGCGTTCAATTATTTCCGTCCAGATGTAAGCGTATGTAGCATGGTGTTCAGTTTATACAAAGTATTGGAGATGTGACAGCGCCTACGATAAGATAAGAATACGTGATACCGTGCATGCACACACGGGGTGGTCCAGCCGATCTCGAAAACATGAACCGTTTAATAAGCAGCAAAGCCTCCTGAAAATATTCTCAAGAGGACCCACTTATAAAGCCCTCCAGTAGAATGTGATACCGCTTCGAGTTCACTCCGTGCCTTTATGACATATTGCATGTGCATTGATCAAAATGGATGCTCGGTCAGGGCCTCAGTTGGAAAACTTAAGTGCCATTCATCGTGTATGATTTAATTGGTTACAGACAAAATCAAAGAAAAACTGCGATAAGTGGAACTTTGCTCATGTTCAAACATGTGTCAAAATTTATCAAAGTAATTATTTTCTTGAAGTATGGGTAAGTACGTTCAATTTAATCATTCATTTACTTGAAAAACTGTTTTCGATAGTTTTCAAAATTAATTTTCTTTGAGAAATCGGAGTTTAAACCTATCCTTTTCAGTAGGGTAGGGCAGTGGTTTAGAGTTATCTGTCCTTGGTGTGAGGAAAGCTGCCGACAACCGATGCGAAAAAACCAAATCTCATTAAAATCAGATCTAAGTTCTCGCTGCCGCTAAACAAAGGTCTTTGGCAAACATAGGCAAAAAACCGTGTTCATTCCAGTACCATGATATCTCAGTAAATATTCATGAGTGATTACATTTAGAATTGTTGTATCAAGTGTCCAAGGTAATTTTAAGACGTTAATCGCCGGTAATTGTTATCAATTAAAGGTGGCAATTGGTGTACCTCTTCACCTGAACTACGGTAATCCCCTCGTTCTTGGTGCTGACAGTCTGGGGTGTGCGAGAGGTACGATGTCAAGACCCGAGGGCCTTCGACCTATTACCGTAGTTCCTCCAACAAGCACAAAGAGTGATCTTCGTGTAACAGCTTTTATTCCCACTTTGTGTTGCCGGTCAACCCACTCTATTTGTCACTTAAATACGAGACTTCGGCCGCAAAGCTTCAGTCTCAGTCGAAATGCTGGTGCTTAAGTTTGGTTTCTGGTTCGAAAGATCGTGACAACAAGCCGAGAACGGGGTACCAGTCCAGATGTCGTCTCCCCAGCCGCTCTCTAGCCGCTCCCTAGCCGCTCTCTAGCCGCTCTCTCGATCTGGGGGCTTTTCCCCCTATTTAAACCGGTACCTACGTCACAGTTCTACTCATTTTTCCATGTATCATTGTCAACCACCTTTCCCCCCTACACTAGATCATTCTAACCCACTCTTGACTAACCTCAAGGTCCTTTTTAGGACTTGTGGTAATGTGACCACCTCAACCCCCGGAATCTGGACTATTCCCCCCCAAAACCATATATGAACCGGAGGGCAATTTCCTCTACGTTTCCTCTCCCAATCTATTTTGTCTCTGGCAACCTGCACATTCCCTTGCTATGTTACTTTTATTGTTTTGCTCTAGTACTCCGACCCACGACCTACTACCGTCACCTCTGGTTATTAGTGGCCCAGTATGTTTCCTGTGCTCTTCAACTCCAACATCGCCTGCCCTCAATATATCTTCCCATGTGTTATACCTATATCTTACTGTTTTAGCCCCTCATATTGCCTACTTATATAATTACTGTAGATGTCTTAATGAGTTGCTAATTACCATTATTTCATGCCTATAATACGACCCCCGTTCTGACGAAGAGTGTGTCCCCACACTCTAAGATGGTGCCAATTCTTGTTATAATATCTGATTTACATTCCCTCTTATTTCTATGACTTATTGATTTAACTTCCCTTTAATTATCTAAATATGTATTACACGTTCATGCCTATAACACAAGATTGTGAAGAAAGTAATCATACATGACGGTACACTTCTTTAAGGATATTGTCTCAGTTTGTTGTATCACGACGACGTCCATAATGACACTCACACCAATAGTTTTAGTGATTATAAATATGTTCAAAGGACACTTTGTGGAAAGATGCCTTGATATCCCCTAAATGGATAGGAACAGTTTTCTCTTTGAAAAACATTTCTCAGGAGCAGTAGAGTGGACCAAATCGCTCTCTTGGGTGTTTTCAATAAGAAGACTCTCGTAGCTATTTGTGATGTTATTATGATTTCTGTTCTCATTGGTTACTAGACCTACAAAAAAATAGAAAAAATGTTGCATTTAAAGAAACATTTGGTCTGCAGTTCCTAAGAAAGAGACTGATCACGCTCACTTTGGGGGTCATAACCTTGTTTAATCTTCCAGCTTTCGACTGTGTGCCTTGTGCCCAGTAAGATAAGTTACATCGTCATTGTCTGTTATTTTACAGTACAAGTTCAAGTTCAAGAGGTTTTATTGTACATATATGGAGACAGTGTTACAAAGTGAATGTACACAATTATTTTACGAAGTGACTTCACGATACTATAAGATTCTTGCGCCGAAAAAGTGCATGATGAACAAAAAGTGCTAACCTCAGAACTGTTTTTCTATCATTAGAATTCAACAGAGATTTACATGAATACAAATTTGACAAACGCAGGTATTTCTGTGGAATATACGCTTCCCTTAAATCAGTATAAACAGTACAAACAAGCAGTATATGAAGTTCATCCTCTATACAAGTTTGACAGAAAGGGCACAATCTCATTGGCTTCGGTATAGAACGAGGTCGTCAAATGTTAACCATTATTTCAGACAGTCAGAGACGAAATCTTGAATATGTTATGCGTAGAGATTGGCATGTTATAACATTTAAATACAATTCAGGTTCAATCAACGATTTAAAAGATCTATACATGACATATCTTGAACTGTTTTCAAGTGTCGATCTCCAATCCTGCTGAAACATATCTAGTTACTTTCTATGAAATAATCTAAACAAATCATGTTTATTACCGACACTTGATACAACCACACATAACCGAAACCGTGATAAAATAGCATGTAACGAATATTTGATGCCCATGTTGTGTACCCATGATTGTCCAGATTAAGTAGCATTTTGTATGTTTTTCTAGGCACGCGGTCTTCGTGCATTCCTAAAATTCTTAACAAGTATTTTAAACAACGAATATATGCATTAATGTACATCGGATATCTTCCACATTCGCCATAAGCCATACAGTTTGAAGTATTTATTCCTGTCTTCAAAAACGTTTTGCATGCATACAAATGTATTTCCTCTATTGGTTCACAATTTTTAAAACCCCAAAGTTCTGAGCCGTATAAAAGGATGACTGTATTTTGGCATCATATAGCTTAAAATAAACTCTAGGTGGAACAGGTTCTAATTTCGATACAGTGGTAAATAAAATGACCATTGCTTTTTTGGCCCTTGGCCTGTTTTTTTCCTAAATTCAAAGTCTGAGTAAAAACAATACCCAGGTATTTATATTCATCTGCAAGAATAACGGGT